ATCTATTAAATAAATTAAATAATAATCTATTAAATAAATTAAATAATAAAATCTAGAATAGGTAGAGAAGTAATGAAGAAAATGAGGAAAAGAAATCCCTTTTTTAATAAAAAGTGCAGAAATAGAAAAAAATAAGGAAAAGAAAGTTGAATAGGAAAGGATCGTGTAACTATTTGATAGAAAAGAAAAAAAAAGAGGGGAGGAGTATGATAACTGGATGAGCATAAGAAAGAAAAATGATTTAACAAGTTGAATAAAACTCCCCAACTAGAGGAATGGGTGAGAATAGGGATGGGGTAGGGCTTGAGGATGAGGGGAAGGGAGCCTGTGGGATTAGGGTGGCATTAAAGTGGATTAAGCAAAACTATTTGAAGAGACAAAGTACTGTCTTTATAAAGGAAGAACGTCAAAAATTAGAATGAAGAATAAATTAGAAACATATGGAGAAAAATAGAAACCTAACTCTCATAAATTTGAATGTGAATGTATTAATCCAATAAAATGAAAGAGAGACAAATGTGATAAGAAAACAAACTCCCACAATCTGTTGCTTATGAGAAACACACCTAACAGCAAAGACATGTATAGAATAAAAGGTCTGGAATAAAATTTTCTGTGAATCAGATAAATCTCAAAACTCAGGAGTTGTAATCATGCTATCAGACAAAGCAAAAATATTTCACAACATAAAAAGAGATACAGAATAAAACTACATTATGCTGAAAGGAATTATAGACAAATAATCAATATTAATATTAAATTGATATGTTCCACATGGCTTAGCATCTAAATTTATAAATGAAAAACTAAGTAAATTACAAGAAGACACAGAGAGTAATAGAGCAATAGCAGTAGACTTTAACTCCCTTCTCTTAGTTTTGGACAGATCTAACAGAAAGATAAACAAATGGGAAAATACAGAATTGAAGAAATTATTGGAGAAACTAGAAGTATTGTGAACAGAGAAAAAACAAGACGTGACAACAAATTTGATACGTAGGGCGACACTGAAGAATTCCAGATGATGCTGACTTGGAAGATGGCAGTACCCTTGATGGAAAAACAAAGGTGAGAAGAAGGGAGAAGTTTTAGGAAAAGATGATGAGTCCTATTCCCACATGTTGGGCTCAACATGATAAGCCATCCATTCAGACATTTCCAAAAGGCAGAGACATTTCCATAGAACATTAGCCAAGTAGAGAGATGAGAGCTGAATAGAACTGGGAGTAATCTTCATCTGTGTGTGCTGATGAGATCACCGAGTAAGATATTACGAAGTGAAAAGAGAAGGTTGCCCAGGACAGGGTCTTAGGGAGTGTCCATGTAGACTGTAGGAGAGTTTACCTCCACACTGTGGTAACTTTCAACAGCTGAGATTTGGGGAGCAAGATCAAGAGATGATTTGGGGATCATTTGGATGGGATGATGCTCTTGTGCTTTTTATGGCAGAATAGTTGAGAAAGGAAATATTAGTTTGGTCTCTGCTCATATGAAGGACTTTGTGCTTTTGTGTCTGCTTCCCTTTTTGCTGAAAAGGGCCCATAAACCATAACCCTTGCTGGCGTGGAGGTGGCCGCTTCAACCTTGGACTCCTGATGCTAGTTATCTGTCCTTGATTCCATGGCTCTGGTGATCTCCACTAGGTTGTCAACAGTGGCACTTAGTGTACTTTGTTGCATGGATCTATTGAATGCTTAACCTAGTGAACTAGAGCCCCTTTTATAGAAAAGGAAACTGAGGCTCAGAGAGGTTAAGCTATTTACCTGTGATCTCACGGTCATGAAATGCCTGAGAAAGGATTCAAACTCAGGTCTTCTCCACTCCAAGTTTAATGCAATATTTTCTCCACTATACTGAGCTGCCTCTCACGTCCCACATTTATCCCATTAGTCACAGAGGAGAATCAGGTAGGAGTCTGGGGTTGGCTTAGTGTTCTGCCATCCCCAGGAGCATTTAGACAACTCAGAGCAGCAGGCCAATGCACACTCACTTCATAATGTCGGCTAGGAAGGACAGAGCTCTGGATCAGGATGAGTGCAGTTGGCAATTGGAAATACAATTTTTTGTTAAGTGGTCTTTCATCACGCTGCTCATGAATATATTTCATGTTATATACTGTTCAGGTATTAACAGGGAAGATTCATAGTCCATGTGTACCAGTGATGCATGGAAACTATTAAGGTTTTTCATGAGCAAAAGAAATCCCACCAACATCCTTCACAGTGAAAAATGGAATCTCCAACTTCTGAAGTGTTATACATTAGAGTCGATGGGTTGGGTGCATGTTTCAGTGTGGATCAGAGTCAAAATGTGGCAGATTACACAGTAACATTCAGATTGCCTCTTATGTTGAAGCCTTAGCCTGCCTAGCTCTCCAATGGAAGAAGAAAGTCAGACAGTGTGAATAGTCACAAGTTCATCCATTAGAAATGCCTTAAATATCAACTTGAACTTCTTATGAGAAAAAAAAAATACGCTGCCCTGAATCTAGCCTATCTAGGAAGGTTGGGGATTCTGGGATGCTTGAGCTATTCATAAGAATAGACCATTAGCCTCTCACCTACATTTGCCTAAACTCTTTCTTCTTAGTCAATGAAATTAATAATGTCCAAAGAATAGGATGGCAACTTGACCTCCTGGACCTTAAGAGAATCAAACGAGTTTGGAAGAGGTGGCCCCAAAAACATGTGCATGTAGAAAGGGTGTAAATATCGGGACTGTGTGAGTCTAGGCAGGAAGTGTTTCTGAATGTGGTTACTCTTATGTTTGGAATTTGGATCTGCATTAGATTGGAGCCTGTGACACACTGCTGCGTTGGTTCTAGATGACTTCAATTTCAGAAAGTGTTTATTTCCTGATGCCCAGTGCCCATCTCCATGAGAGACTGAGGCATTTCAAGGATTCTAAGTTACTCCCTCGACCTATTTAATCTCTAGGTGGCAAACTTGGAACAAGGGAAGGGGAAGGATATGTATCAGGCACTGCACTTAGTGCTTTACACATACAATCTCATTTGAATAACAAATGCTGAGCCAGTAGCCAGAAGACCCACATGACCCCTTGTTTGGTCCGTATCAGTCCCAGGTCTGTAGAGCAAGAGATTGAAATTGTATCAAAATTTCTTATGTGGAATTAATCAGGGTTTTGAATAGGGGCATTAATTCAAGTTACTTGAGGGGGTGAGTTGACACTGGTTTATTTCTTTGGGAAAACTTATCTGGGGGTGGGGTGCTAACCCTCCCCCACGTGTCACCACTAATCAACCACTGTTCTCTACTCAGGACTATGCAGATGTCATCACTATGGGAACTGCAGTCAGGGAGAGGGGAGAGAAGGGCAGGGCTTGATTGTGATTATGGGAATAAATGGTCCACAGCCAAAAAAAATCCTCAAGCTTTGGTAGGGGTGGGGGTGGTACCTGAGATTCCTGTGGGAAGCAGTCTGATCTATAACAAAGAATTATTTATCATGAAAGATCATAGGTCATAGGTATTTAAAACTGGAAAGGATCTTAAAGGTAACTTGGTTCAGTCCTCTGCTTTTACTGATGAGGAAACTGAGGAGCATGAAGGTTAAGTAATTTGGCCAAGGACACACAGATATTTAAGTGGTAAAGACTGGATTTGGAGTGGGATGCTGATGAGGAGGTTAATACTTTTGAATAGGAGGATTTACCTTTAATGATCATGATAGACAGCCCTGTGGACCACTTCTTTCTTTGGCACATTCCTCTGAGAACCTCCCTTTGAGAAAGGACTCAGGCCAGCCACCACTCCTTGCTCTCCCAGCTCTCTGCAGACTTGGCCCTCAGATGGGCACTACTTCTACTTTTATGTGTTCTTTTTCTCCATTAGAAGACAGGCTCCTTGCAAGCAGGAAGTGGCTTCTTTTTTCCCTGGTATTGAAACTTCCAGCACTTAGCAGAGGGTCTGACACCTACTGATCTTAGTGATTTGACTACTCTGGGTTCTCTAGAGGCCAGGCCTATTAGAAGCTCAATGATTCTTTAGGCCCCTCCAGTGTCTTCTCCTGTATATGTTCCACTTTGGCACCACTACCTTCCTTCAGGTCCCCATCACCCCTCCCCTCTACCTCTCCAATATTCTTTCTTTGTGCTTCTTGCCTCCAGGCTTTTTTTGTCTTCAATCTATCATCCAAATGTTTTCCAAATTGATCATCTTAAAACTTACATTGGATCATGCCACATTTCCTACTCAAGTATCTTCAGTGGCTCTAGGATTTCTTGATCGCCTCTAGGGTAAAATACAAACTCTCAGCTTCACATTTATCATTAATCTGTCCAATTATTGTTAATTACCATTCACAATTTGATCTGAGCATTCATACAATAGATAAAGAATATCTATTGCTAAGATTATAATTGAGTGGACAGTTTAGAGTTTGTCCATTAGGATGTATATCTGGGATGGACAGTACAAATTAATTTTTAAAAGTTGGACACATAATTAAATTGGAGGAGAGTGGGCTGGGTGGTTTTCAGAATATTGTAAAATTCTCTTAACAGCTCCAGATTTTCCCCAGCATTTAATGCCAACATTTTACCAGTGCAGCAGTATGTCTATCACACATGGAACATAATACTTGTCAAGTCAATACAACTCAACAAGCAATTGTAAAGTTGTTCCTATGTGCCAGACACTGTGCTAAGCACCAGGTATATAAAGAAGGATAAAAGTAGTCCTTGACCTCAAAGAGCTTACATTCTAACGGAAGAAACAGCATGCCAATAATTATACATTCAAGATAAATCTGTATGAGGCAAATTGAAGATAATCTCAGAGGTACAGCATAAGTGGAGGTGGGGCTTCTTGCAGAAGGCAGGATGAAGAATTGAAAATGAATATCACTCGGGGCCAATAGAGAGGTTCATGGTGAGTGTGGGCAGGTAGAAACATGTAGCCAATGGAAAAGTTCGGAAAAGAAAAGGAGAGAGGCTCCCAGGGAATATGTGTGATAGTAAAAAAAAAAAAGAGAGATGGATCACATTTTAAATATGATACAAAGATTGAGCTTAAGGAGTTTTGGTCAATCCAATGTTATTTTATTTCTTGAATGTTAAGGTCGACAAAAGACTGCTACCCTGGTGACATCTCCATGAGTTAGCAAACACAAATATTCTCATCTCCAGTTTTTAGATGATGAAAATAAAGCTTAGGGAAATTTTCAAAGCTTTTCTAATTCATTTTATTATTTTTACTCAGAACTTAACAAGTACCAAGTAAAATGAATATGTTCATACACATAACAGAACAAAAAAAGAAAATTGTTACATGAAGCTGCAAATCTGCATTTTGTGCAGCCTGTTTTTCTAAGCACATAATGTATTCAACTTGTAGCTTTCAAAACTGTCCTGCTTTTTGTAACTCCTTCTGGCCTTCCTGTTTTCATCTCTGGATTTTAAAAATCGCTTTAGTGAGCTTTTTTTCTTTTTCTTTCTCTTTCTCTTTTTGAGTAGAAAGCCTTCTCCCTAGTCACTTTCTCACTACTAGTAACCCCTCATTGGAAAACAAAAAAAAAGAAAAGAAAAGTAAAATCCTTGTAAGCAATAAGCTTCTACTATGTGCCAAGCAGTGTGCTAAACACTGGGGATACAAAGAAAGGTCAAAATAGTACTTACTTTCAAGTAGCTAACAAGATGTGAACTAAAATTTGGACTCCAAACCTTTTGTTCTAATAAACAATGACCAAATGGGGCTTGGCCTGGGACCTATTGTTGGCCAATTAATGAGAGCCAGAGTGATTTGGGTTTAAGGTACGTTCCTTAAGGAAAAAAAAGGAAAAAAAAGAAAAAATGATTTCAAAGATCAAAATTTACATTTCTTTGGGCAGATCACTTGAAGGTAAGGGTATGATACCCTATGTGGATAGAGGGGAGGGAAAGAAAGAAAGAAGAAAGAGAGAAAGAAAGAAAGAAAGAAAGAAAGAGAAAAAAAGAAAGAAGGAAGGAAGGAAAGGAAAGGAAGGAAGGAAGGAAGGAAGGAAGGAAGGAAGGAAGGAAGGAAGGAAGGAAGGAAGGAAGGAAGGAAGGAAGGAAGGAAGGA